ATAAATACTAAAATAAACTACTACTTGTACTACTATTCCTACTTTGTGGTTATGGCGGGGCTTCAGGGTACGGATTCTCTGTGATAAACGAGGGCCTACTGTATAATGTTTTAGAATTTTGACAATTATTATTATTACTACTGAGACCCAAGGAGGATTAGGGCCTAATCCTCTTCCTATAGTGCTAATCCTCAATAGATTAGGACTTCAAGGTGGTAAAAGTTATTGCCTTTTTTTAAAATTCAGACTTTTTTTCCCCCTCAGAATTTAAACATTAATCTCAGAATTCTGAGAGTAAAAAATGTATCTTCCATATCTTTGGTTTTAATAAATGTGAGAAAGAAAAAAAAAATTGGAAATGTCTTCCAACATTAATCCTTGGAAAGTTTTTTCAAGCCGGTAAGCGTAAATTTTTTTTTGATGCTGTCATTCAAGAAAATGAAAGCAAACCTACATGAAATAATATAAAAAATAATTTTATTAGAAGTTTCTTCCAAACTGTACCCATCTTTTAAATGTGAGACTGAGCCTATAATAGCTTCATTAAAACGACACACTCTGGTATCAGAGTAGCATCTCTTGCCATCCAAAAGATCGATTTGTAAAAGTTGTGCTTGTTTAATGATTCTTGTTTTTAGCTCAGCTCTGCCTCAGTCCATCCTGTCCTCTGAGTCACCTCCTGCAGAAGCACAAGCTGCTCTAATCTACCAGGCAGCGTGAGTAAAAGGTTAACAATCATCAGCTCTGTACTCACAACACGAGAGCTGGAGGCCTTCTGCAGCTGGCTTGCCTGAGAAACACAGAGCGCCATGAATCACAGTGTATATCCACAGTTTCTCTGCAGGGTTTGAAGCGTGTGAACTTAGCTTACAGAGCGAGTAGATGCTGCAACTTGGCCTCCGTCCTGCGAGAAACAGGCGGTCTTGATCATAAACATCCCCACCTGCTGATTGGTTGGAGAATCGGGCATCTCCATCTGCAGGTAGATACGATACACCTGACCGAATGTCAGCGCCTGCAAATGTAAACAACAGACGCATGGGGTTAAAAAAAAGAAAAGGGAATTATTTAACAGATGCAGCTGCTGCCAGTTCTTTAGTTGTACTCTTAAAAATGAATGTCATATTTTTAATTTATTAGAATCGTTCTTTTTCCACAGTGGAATATTTATACAACTAATGACTAAAAATAAACAAACAAACAAAAAAGAATCAGGTGCACACGTTTGAATTTATTCTGGATTTTCAGTGATGAACACAGGGTCAAAATTATACATACAAGATCAAATATCTACATACAGTCACCTAAATCTATTAATAAGTGCTGCTGAAGGTTGTTGAACATATTTTACTTTGCAAGGACAAATCCCCTCAACTTCTTTTTAGTGATCATCACTGACTGCAGATGGTGGGTTTTCTTTGCCAGCATAACAAGATTTGTTAGACAGCATTTGATTGATTGACTAATATTCACCAGTCACTCTCAGAGGAAAGGACATAAGTGAGTAATAGTTCAGGAACATGCTCAAACCCACCAAGACTCAAGCCTGCCATGTACTGTAAACAGCTGGAACAGCAGTATCACTGTCCAGTGAAGACAGTTTTACATCTACTTGCTGTGAAAAAAGAGACCCCGGTTGTAAAAGTGACACGTTCAGGATAGAATGAAATTCAGAACTGTCCACAATGGACGAGCCAAATGTCTTGAAGAGAAAGGTTTTAAGGTTACATGAGAGTCAGGTCATCTGGACTTTTTTTAATTAATTTTTTTAGACATTTCGTCTTTCATCCAAAGGACTTCATCAGTTCAAGGAGCCACAAAACAAACTCAGTACCACAAGCAGCTCACTCCCATAGTGAACCAACCAGTTTGCTGGTGATAAGATGGTTTCTGGGGCCCACCCTCCACTATGGGAGTGTGCTGCTTTGTGGGACCAAGTTTGTTTTGTGGCTCCTCAGACTGATGAAGTCCTTTGGATTAAGGATGTAACGTCAACAAAAAAAAAATAGAAAAGAAAAACCATATAGATGACCTGACTTGTTGGATTTTTTAATTTTTTTTTTTACCTGGAATGGACTTTGATGTCACATGAGACAAAGAGTTATCTGGCCACAATGACAAAAAGTATGTTTGGAGGAGTGAAGATAAGGCTTTCAAACATATAAACACTGTCCCAACTGGCAAATGAGGACTACTGTAACTCCAAATTCTTCAGCATCACCTCATATCAACTGCTAGAAACTTGTTCAAAAGCTGAGCCTGTGCTAGAAACCAAACAATATAAATAAACTCCGTCACTTCTGCAAAAGAAGAACGGTCAAAGATTATGTCAGAGTTTTGCTGAACGATGCATAAAGTCTATGGCTAAAAGCTTGTTACCACGTTTACCCCAACAGTGGGGTGTATGTATACATTTAGGCCAGTATGTATAATTTTGACTTTGTTTACGAGTGAGATCACTGTAGTTGCAAATTGCTCCACCTTCCAAAAAATCAATTTAAACCAATAATTGAAAAGCCCTAAAATAATATGACACATGCCTATAAAGAGTGTAATTAAACTTCTGTCTGCAACTATTTATACCTACATGCTTTTTGTTTCTCAACAAGGAGATGTTGGCTACAGGGTAAGAGCATGAAAAGGAAGTTGGAGATTCACAGTCTGACCTGTAACAAAAAAAAAATGGGAAAAAAGGATAAGAAAAGCAAAAGAAATATAAAAAAACAACACAGAGATACAATAGATTTGTCAAATCACACCTGTAGTAATAGTGCACAGGTGTAGAAAAGGCCGCCTTGGGCATGTATGAGTAGTAAAAGCTCCCGTATAAAAAAGCAGCGACACAAAGGAGCAGGAGCACGAAGGAGAGCACGGTGAGTCCCTGTAAAATTCTCTGACGAGCTCGAACAATCGCCATGACGACAGCATCCTGGAGCCTCATCAAGGAGACTGAAGGTTCTTCGACATCTTTTGAAGGCAGATGGCTGTTCTGCTCCATAAAGTCTAATATCCAGACAAAAAAAAAAAAAATTAAATAAAAGCAGCAGAACATTTGGACACACTGATTATGACGACGAATGGAAGGAGCCCTTCAGCTGTGGCGTTTCACAACCAGACTGAAGAGCGAAACGATTTCTGAGCGAGGTTTTCTTGGAATAAAGACACACAAATGCAACATAAACCGGGCAGCTGATGTTTTAATGTCAAGAACACAATCGTCAACATTCAAAGAACCAAAGACAAAAACCCACCGAGTCCAATCACAGTCACAAGGTTAAGGCCTTTCATACCATTTGACTACTAACAGTCAACCAACAGTCTGACGAAGCTGAGAAATAACTCGGTTTTGCTACCATATTGCTGGAAAATATAAAATATTTAAAACATGTCATCGAGGTTTAATTCAAGCTAGTTAGTCTCATTTTTTGTAAATGAAGTCGAAGTTTTCAGAGATCAAGATGCAGACTGGTTGGATATTTACAAATTAAGCATTTTACCTCAAAAGCACAAAGAAAGCTGAGGTTTGAACCAGCACCAGCGTGCTGACATCTGTCTTGTTGTGAAAACTCACCTCTGGATTCTGTTGGCCAAACTGAGCTGTTAGGAAAGTCCTCCCTCAAGTGTCCCAGTCCACTCTGAACAGAACACTCTTCGTGTGTCTCAACGTCGGTGCGTCCAAATGTAGCACTGGACGAGCGTTTTTTAGTCCAGCCCACACGAGTTCTTCCAACTGGGACGGAGTTCGTAAACATGATGAAGACAGACGTGAGGCCCTGACATAAACTTTAAGAGATGCTATACTTATTCTTAACGTGCTCTTTTCACGTTTGTTTTACACATTTTTCTCCCACATAACAAAAATCAGCAGTTATAATTGACCTTTAAGGACAAATAGAAATGACTAAAAGTAGTTAGAAGCTGAAAGTTTGAAAATGTACAACTAAAGTTAAGTCAGTGTTTGTTTGTTTTTTCTTTAATACCTTATATCTAAATGTAAATTATGTCACAGAGATTTGTTGATCCAGAATCTGTTTTAGTTATTTGTTCTAATTTTTATCCGTTGTGCTTTTTCTGTTCTTCTTTATTTCTGTAAATATGTGGAGTTTGATTTCTCTGTAATGACCTGGCAGAAAAAGCTACCTTTTAGTTTTTGCTACATCTTTTTTGTTTAGTTGGCTATTTATCTTTTTTTTTATTTCAAACTGTGCTCCCCCCCCCCCCCTTCCTGTTGCAGAATTTTCTTGCATACTTTGGTCTATTTTTTTGTTTTGTTGCAACATCAACTTTTCTCAGCTGTGGGATAAAAATAAAGTATTATTTTCTATTTGTCTAGTTTATTAGGAAATCTTGTACCTAGATGTAAAGCACTTCTGCGAAATTAATTATTAAAGCAATTTCTGTTCAGTGAAGACTCAGCTTTGTGTGTAATTTGTGAGAATGTTAAGCTGAATTGTGTCATGCTCACTTGCATGCAAAAGTTTAGGTATCTCAGATAAGTACCGTACATTACACTTTGTGTAAAACTATGAGCAAAATAAAATGAGCTGAAAGTGTAAAAGATGTAAAAGTCAGAGAAAGCAATAGAGGAGATAGTGAGGACAGAGGACGCAGAGGACAGACTGAGCTGGAGGATGACTTGCTGTGGCAACCGCTGAAGAGGGAACAGCCAAAAGAAAAATAAGAAGTTGCTTCAATTTGAATTTACAAAATAGGAAAAAATCCCCCCAAAATGTAGGGCATTCCACAAGGTTAGCGCATATAACACACTCTCTGTTTCTAAAAGCTTTTATTCCCAGAAGTCTTTCAGACTTTAAATATGGGGGATTTTACTTTCAAAGAAGATGATTCAAACTCTGTAAGATTATCAGATTCTTACATGAATTTTACTTTGAGGTCTCTTGGTGGTTTTAAGAATTAACTTCTTACATTAGGGAGGGCCATATCTTCAGAGGATTAGCTCTGGTTTCGGGTCACTCACGATGCTGTTTTGAAAGCCACATTTTCCACCACCATTTTCTAGATTTACTGTATCATGAACTTAACAAGAATTTGCTCCCATTTATAAAATATTCCCCTCACCCCTTCACACATGGTAATACTGAAAAGTACCCTGTATCACTGGTTGCAGCTCAAGCCTAAAAACCTTACCTAGGACTTTTATTTTACATACACACATTTTTATAAAAATAGTAGACACAAAGTCATGGTAAAAATTGAAATAAAACATATTTTAGCAATAAATAATATTAAACCACACACAACCAACAGCAAATTTGCATGTATTTCGTGATAAGCAGAAAAAATAGCAACACATGGTGTTGCATTTTGCATTGTACAGGTAAACAGGCCCATAGTGCTCCAACGCTTTCACAAAACTCAATCTAAAAGAGATGAGTGTTTAATTGACTCACCTGCTGTTTGTAACGTGCTCATTTTCAACAGCTCAGATGACATCTAAAAACCCCACAAACATTTGCCGCACGGCAATTTTTTACCACCAGGTGGCAATGTGCTGAAACTGAGCAGAAACACCCCGCCAAAAATGTTTTTATGCGTAGAAGAAGAAGATTTTGACCAATCACAAGCTGAGTTTCATTGTACCCGGAAGCGGTCCTATGTTACTTTAAAGTTGTTTTTTGGAAAACAACTGAAAGGTAAAGTTAACGTCTTTCTTCTGTCTGTTCAAACCGCGTTAACGACACTTGTAATAATGTTTGATTAGATGTAAAAACTCACGTTAATTTGACTGTTTTAATTTATGTTGAAGCTTGTCTCTCTTACGGAATATCTATATTTATTTATACTAGTCTAGTAGATATACTCCCCATAGTTTGAGAAAACACATATGTTATTTGCCATATTTAAATACTATGGCGCTAAGTACAGTCATCTGGAGGAATAAATTTGGCTTATGGGGGTTTAATGTGCTAAAACTGGGAATAATGTTACTGCACTGGAAAAAGTCATTAATGAATATTATACTGTAGATGCAAAGATGTAGAACAACAACACCAAAAAAGAAAACAATAAAGGTTATTTTAAAATGTTGTAGTTTTTAGGTCCTCTTAACATTTTTCCTTTGAGTAAAAACATCTAAATTGAAAGCGTCACTTTTCAGATTTAAAGCTCGTCAGAAAACGGCTGAAAAAACAATGTAAACATTTCTAATATTGTTTTTAAACTCCAAAAGCTAATCACTGATTTTAAAGCCGACAATCACTTCAATTACTGTGCATAGTAAAAAGAAAAACTAAGGAATAGTTTAGTAAAGGGCATAAGAGTAATTTGTTCTGTTTCCTCCCGTCTTAAGGCCACAGGATGTCTTGTAACACCAGTGTTACCCAACTTGATGTGTCTTCGCTGGGACGGGTAGAGCAAGTCCCAGTTCACCTCCTGCCCTGTGAGATTGAGTACAACGGCGTTGCCCAGGTCTCACAATATTTTACTGCTACCACAAAAGATCGTAACCAAGGTACTACAGTTCCATTTCTTCCACTGGTAATAATTTTCTATCAGGGCTAATATTAGATACCAGATGTGTCTCAAATTAACTTTAGTAATTCAGATGTGTCCAGAAAAAATCTGCTACTTATTTTTCCCAACTGCAGAGAAGACGGTGTCATTCAGAGGACGTGGGCTGAAGGGACAGGAGATCAGTTGTCCACAGGGCTACACTGGCCTGGTACTAAAAGAGGTCAACAAGACTGGCTCTGATCAAGAGGTGAACAAAGTCTTCTGTGAGAACTGATAAACTGCACAGGCCTTCGAACATTATGCATTGTGGTGGTTCTTTATGTTGCTGAATTACATGTTTGCATGTGCAGGACAGGACAGTGAGGATATCTGCTTTGTTTAACAAACTGACATACTGGAACCTGGAAACTCCTCCAACTTCAGATGATACTGTGGTGATGGCGATGGACTGGCCTGAGGTGGCGGAGGCAGTAAGTCATTTACAAAGCTAACTTCAAAACTATGATAAAATAAAATAATCCACTTCTCTTTGCAATTCTGTTTTATTAGATATTATTTTTATAGTTAAGATGTGTTTTGTAGTGAGTCAGAAGTTTAATCTTAATTTTAGTGAAATTTTCATCTTAATCCAGACCATAATTACTGTTTCCTCGCCGCCAATTAAGTTTTACTCTGGCCTGAACAGAAGTTGAGGTTTTTTTTGTTGTTGTTGTTGGCAAAATGACTTGCCTTAATTTGCAAGAACCAATAAGTTTACATCTAGTTTAATCAGAAACTTTTTTTTGCAATAAAATGTATCAGCGTAAACTTGTTTAGTCTGGCTCTCTTGGGCTCGGTTCAACTGACTGATTCAATGTTTAAACCAGGAAAAGGGGAGAAATAACTAATTTAGATTAACATTTATGGTGAATGATTTTCCAGTTTGGCTCAGCAGATACTTTCAGAATTTAAAAAAAAAACTATATTTGACAGCAATATTAGAATAGATTAATTGCAGAAAATACTAACCTAAAGGTGGACAGACTTATATGTGCTGCTGTTTTGTCTCTTCATAGATCCATGGACCAATAGAAGACTGAGGAAACGTCCTGTTGAAAGGTCTCAGGCAGACGTCACCTCAGCATTTACTAGTGATAATGAAGATATGTTAGAAATTCTATGTTGTGCAGCTGCTTCAAACATGCAACAAATGTTCAGATTCCACATATGTTCTTTTGTAAATAAAAACAAAACATCTATGACTGGACAAATTCATTTTATGAAAAACTACCACATGTACATGTCATTTCCACAAGACTCTTTATTCACCAGGTCACATTTAGGTTCTGAACACTCACACCTACAAAACCCTCTAAAATCTAAATAGTCATTGCTGATGTCCTTTAGGAGTATCCAGTTTAAAACTCTAAGGCTTGTATGCTAATTTCAACACGCATTTCTTTGTACAGAAAGTGTTCAAAAGTATGTAAAACAGTGCAGAACATGAAATTCTACCCAGGCATTCAGGCACAGTCCAACTTTAAATTTAGACATTAAAAATGTAGAAATATATATATATATATTAAAAAATGTCATAGAAATTCACCCAAACCAAACATTACAGTAATTGTAGAAAACCTTAATTTAGTCACTGAAGGTTTGCTTTTCAGCAATAGAACCAAAATGAACAAAGAAAAAAAAAAATGTTTTTTTTTTTTTTTTTTAATTAACACAATGGAAACACTTTAAACAATTAGTCCTGTTTTCTGTCACTCAGCTGCAACCTAAACACAACATTGTCATATCCTGATGCATGCTCAATAATCCAGATAGAAAAATCTAAAAAAAAGTTAAGTCTGGTTCTCTGGACATTCAGAAAACAATACAAACGAAAAAGAAAAGTAGAAACGTTTCGTCTTTCATTCGAAAGACTTCCTCAGTCTGAGGTGCTGTATTCAGCTCAGTCTTATAAATAGCACCTTCTCGCAATGGATCAACCAGTTTGCTGCTGACAACCAAAACCAGCTGCTCACATGATCAAGAAGGACCATCAGCCTAACGACGGATCATTAGCACACTGATGGCTGTTTACTATTCACAGGGTTCTTTCTGAGTGATACTAGCAATCACAGCATTGTAAGAGGGGGACAGTTGAACACAACATCGTCATCATCTGATACTTTTCACTGAAGTTGAGAAAAAAAAAAAGAAAAACGACAAAAACAACAATGTGGCACATCAAACATACTGTATGTAGTTAATAACTTATTGAATAGTTTTGCAAAAAAGATGAAAGGAAAAGCTATATAAGTTATATAGGTTATAAAATGTCACACTCTCAAATTTTAGTACTTAACAACTATTTGCCTATTGATTAAGCAGTTTCATTGGATTTATCCAACAAAGAAAATACTTTTGTATTTTATCTTAGTTTGACCAGAAACTCTGCTGCTACCTTCAGACCCAGGGCAGGGCTTCCTTGACTAAAAATAAATCTTGTGATCTTAATAGGACACACCTAAATCCACGATGGTTATCAAAATACTAACATTTTCAATGTTTTTGATTTGTATTTTTTGGATTATCTATGACAAAAATATCTTCTAAATAGGCATATTTCACTTCTAAAAGTCTACCAAATAATTTATAAATCAGCAGAATCGTGTTTGTTGCTAACAATTAGTTGTTTTTCGGTCGTAAACTGTTGTCAATAAAATAATCCCCAGATGCAAACAGGACAGCAAAATCAGAGATGCCATGTAGTAAATTAATAAATTATCTCTTCCTCTGAAAATATACAGTGACTAAAAGCTGAAAGGACGAGTGTAGAGTAGTAGCAATAGTCATTTTGGGGGAGGAAATTGACAAGTGGAGTGTGTTTAAACAAAAGTGAGATGTAAATGAGCTGTGGCGAGATGTTTTGAACTCTTAACAGAAGAGTTGTCGTAACTGATCAACAAATTTAGCCATAAACAACGGTGAGGCATACCAGTAATTGCCCCCGTCATTTAATAATCTAGAAGTGGTGTTAGAAGCATACAAATTCAAATAAAAAAACACTGACAATTTTATTTTTACAACTATCCGTTTTATGGGCTAGATAAAAAAAAAATAAAAAGCACTACTAACATGAATTTTGTATAATACACATGACAAGAATTTTTATCAAACCTTATACAGTTCTAACATTACTGTTTTCATGTGTAGAGTATAAATGTCAGTTTGTTATTTTATCACATTTGAATACAACTCACCTATCATTCTATATGTGTAAGATTAACTGCAGTAGTGACAAATGTGTTTCAGATTAAGAACCTAAAGTGTAAGACTAATAAAAATGACACAAAATATAGCATAGCATAACAAATCTGTTTTACACTCATGTCCACGTTGGGCAAATAAATCTGATAAATGAGGCAGAATACGACTCCTCTGCTGCTGGTGTTTATTCTGAGCAACTTTCTGTGTTTGTAAATCGGTGAGGATTAAGAGTTACGAGAAATAAAAAAACAAAATGTTTGCAATTATAAGCTCAGCAGGATGATTTCCGCTATAAATTGACATTTAACGGTTTATTTTTAAATAGTATTTTGGTCATCTTAGAACATTTTCTCACTTCATTTCATAAAATGACAAAATCTAATTTTGATATATTTTTTTTAAAAACAGGGCTCTGGGAAACTAATATTAGTACTATTTTCTTACCATTATTATTTTTTAAAAATTTTATAGAATTAAAAAATAAAACCCAAGTTATGCATTTGGTTACATGTCAGTGAACAGATATGAAAGTGTTTCTGTATGTTAGCTGAGAGGAGGAGGTGGTGGTTGTGGTAGGGAGGGCTCGGTGTCAGCCTTGCTGCGTTTGGCCGGCAGACTCTGGTCATGAGCTTTTCGAATGTGTCTGTAAAGGTCGCCTGATTGTGTGTAGCTCCGATAGCAGTAGCGACACTCATAAGGACGTTCACGCGTGTGCACGATGGCATGGCGTCTTAGTGTATATGTGCATGAGAAGGTCTTTCCACAGACACCGCATGTCGGGACATCCTCCACAAAGTTGCCCATAGAGTCCTGGAGCTCTTGGAAGTAGGCTGGAGGGTCCGAATGTGGTCGAGACGTGGACGGAATGAGGGAGGCAGAGAAGGAGGAAGTGTCCTGCGAGGAAGGTCCGGCACCAGAGGAAGAAGAGGGAGAAAGGGGGAAGGAGTAGTCATTTGAATGGGAAGTGACTTGTAAGAGGCTCTGGGAGTGAGAAGAGAGAAACTGAGGGCTGTTCAGTTCTTCTTCCTGAATGTCATCTTCAAACTCATCTTCCATATCCATTTCTGATTCTCTCTCCTTGATTTCCTCTTTCTCTTCTAGCTCTTCATCAGAAATAACAATGGCCTCTTCTTTGACTTTCACATCCTGGTCTGTTATTACTCCATCCACAACAGGGTGAGATCTTTTTCTTGTGGGATGTGAAGCTCCGGTGTCATCCTCTGGTCCCTGAAACATTTGAGTCTGAGGAGTAAGTTGAAAGTTCAAACTCTGGCGCTGCAGTGATACAGCGCTCTGAATTCTGATTGGGGGAGGTGGTTGTTGAAGGTGTCTTGTATTTGTCTGGAAGTTTGATGTTGGAGCTGCAGCTTGGACTGATATGACCATCTGCTGTTCTCTGCTAAAAGTTGTTCTGTGCTCAGTCTCTGACGGGCCCTCAGGGGAGTTGTCACGAGGCAACTGTGGTTCGGTCGGATGTGCGTGAGATTCTGACTGGTTAAGAGCAGTTATGGAGAAACCACTAGCCTGGCTCACTGGGACAAGAGAGGAAGACGATGATGAAGAGGGCTGCTGGCTATTAGTGGGAGACAGACAAAAAGATAAAAACAGCCTTTCAGTAACAACAAAGAGGAATGACCATCAGTACAAGGATTAAATATCGTAAAAACTTCAAATACAAATGATAAGTTTAATCTAAATAGTGGCAATTAATTCACTTTGAAGGATAACAGAAATCAGATTACAAAAAGAAGACTGTCTTAAGGACAATGGGCTTATTCATCACATTGTGTAGCTTAATTTAAATAATAAATAAAAAAATTAAAGTGACCACATCTTTTTTACTATTCATGAATATTGGTGCTTTTATGAGTTCTATTCTCTGTCTTCTAAAATATTTAAATGCTAGACTAAAATAAATAGTTCTGAGATGAGACTTTCCTCATGATTGAGCATGCATCAGGATATTCCTCATGATTGTTATTTTTCCAACTGAACCTGTATAAAAATCTACACCAGTCTTACCTGTATGTCTCTGTGGTGCTACAAGGACTGGAGAGAGCAGATACTTTGCTCTGACTCCACCTGCCCATCCTGGTGTGACTCCTAGAGGTGGGGGTAGACTGGTTTCCAACCAGGCCCTGCATCAGTTCTCCAGCTCGGTGCAAAGTGGGGATGTCCATGCCTGGCTGGGTGGTATCAGCAATGTCAGGGCTCAGAGGAGTTTGAACTTGTTCCTCTGAGGAACCTCTACCAGTCCTATGCTCAGATTTCACAGACTCCATCTGACTTCCCTCTGCCACTTGGGATCCAGATGACAGAGGTGTTGCTATGGTGACTGGATTTGAGTGGTCTGCTACCATGGCCTCCAAAAGCTCAACTCCGTGTTCGTCCTCTGTGCCTCTTTCTGTTGCCTTCCTCAGCCCGCCACTCTCTTCAGAGCGTGTGCTGTCTGCCTCAGCCAGTGGCCCTCGTCGCTGCAGCCGCTTCTTGCACACTCTCACCACCTCGTTCATGTGAAGAAAGCTTGCAGCAGCCAAAATGTCCTCCACTGGAGGAGAATCCTCCAGCTGGAGCACACCTTCATAGACAAAGTCTAAAAGCAAGCCAAATGCAGCAGATGTAACAATGTCATTGTCAAGTGTGACTGAGCTGCTGTTGCTGTTTCCCCCTGGTGAGTCAGAATAGAACATGTGGAAGAAGGGCGAGCATGAGGCCAGAACAGCCCGGTGAGCCAGAAAACGGGATGAGCCCACCAATACGGTGCAGTCACAAAGAAAGCCCCGCTGGCGCTGGGACCGCAGAGCTGACAGCAGCTGCTGGGAATGCTGAGGAAACTCCATGACCTAAGCAGAGAAGGTAAAAGTGCATCATATGTGAAAATCTATAAGTATAAGCTTGTGTATAAACAGACTATATAAAAAATGTAATGATTTTAAATAAGCATTTGTCATCAAATTTAAACTGTTAGGAAATATCTCAAATGTTTCTAAAAGTAAAACACATGGTGAGCTGTCCGTACTTTTTTGGCTTGCAGTACACATTACTGTTCAAACGTCGTCAGTCTTCCCTTATTTCTTCAGCTTCAAAGATGTCAGACTTTCTTACAATCTTTAAAGTGGTACCGAACAATAGTTCTCCTAGTCTTTCAAGGTTTCCCCTTGAACTTTGACAGTGTTTTTCACTCATGTTCAGAGGAAGGGCTTTTGGATTTGTGAAGCTAATCCAAGCTAAGGAAGTAAAAGCTTCCACCACACACATTAACTCGGTTGATACTAACAACAAGTTCACCAGAGAGGATACCAAGGACAAAAAGCTGCCTTATTTGGACTGTAAGGTGCACACGAAGAAAGAATAAACATCAACAATGATGATGACAGGAATTCAATTCAATTCAATAATACTTTATTAATCCCAGAGGGAAATTATTTTGTTGTTGTAACTCGTTATCCTCATTTCATTAAGAGATGTTATAGATGCTGATGGCTCTTGTAAAGGTCCATCCCTCAGTGGATCCTAAGAAACTGGCTGCAGATGCCGTCCGATCAGTCCTTCCAGACTCGGCTGGCCTCTCGGTTCCCCTGGACTGTAGGACCGCCTGAATGCTGGGCAGAACTCCTCCCAGAGCGATGGCCACTCCTCCCAGCAGTCTGCCAAGCTCCTCGTCACTGCAGATAGCCAACTGTAGGTGCTGAGGGACGATCCTGTCTTTCCGCTGTCATGAGCCGTGTTTCCTGCTAGTTCCAGGATCTCAGTGGTCAGGCACTCGAGCACAGCTGGCAGGTAGATGAGAATGCGTCCACATAACATCCTTTTCAACTCATTTGAGAGTTGGGGCCATAGTTGAGAAATTATTTGAGCTTTTGAGATGTTAATCAGCTGCTGTTGTTGTAGAAAACTGCCTTGTTGCCATGGTTACGCATCATAACATATGTCCAAAACCAAAAAAATCTCTGTAAAAATCCTTCCGGCTGCACAGCGTCCGATACCAGAGGAAACAATCATCCAAAAAATGTGATTTACATCCAGAAAAAGAGGAATTAAAGTTTCCAAAAGCAAAATCTCAGAATGAAAGTAACAGAGCTGCTCCAACATGCAGCCACCTTGAGCGGCGCAATTCTAGAATGAATGAATAATGAATAGCCACGAATGCCAACCAACACAGATCAGTAGGTTCTGTTTCATTCTCATCACCCATTGCAACACAAACTTTCTGTCATCAGAACTCACCACTGGACCCAGAATGACCCCACTAGGACAGAATTAAAGGAACACACACACGAAATGATCTTTAGAAATGTGGATATCGTAACTGGGCTTTTGTCACATCAGAAAAAACAACAACAACAAACATTCCACCAATCAGGAAAGGCGTCTGGCCCAGTGGCAAGAAATGTACAAGAGAAATAAGTTTTTAGTGAACTAGTTTTGTTCCATAAGAACTAAAGTGAAGAATTTTCGACAAGATTAAAAAATAATAATAATCACAGAAATAAACTTAAGAGTGAAACGGGAGCTGGTCAATTCACTGCACTTTTTGCAAAGCAAATATTTTACTCACATTACACTGTATAATGCTATCATAACATTGATTAATTTTAACAGTTATATTTACATTAGTTACTTACATGGTATAGATGTCTATGTACCTTATGGTCAATGGTAAACAATCTAGTGAGTCATCATCACATAAATATAACTGTGCAGTGAGTTTTCATCACCTAGTGTGGTAAGGTGCCATTGCAGTGAGTTGATAAAGACCTTTCATGACAGCGAAGTCCTAAAACTGTCGACCTACTTTAACGTTTCCTACTCTGCGTTTCCATGGAGACCAGCTTGAATTTGTCTCGGTCCACAGCTGGGAGCCGAACCTTTTCATGTAACGCTGCATACGAACAAGATTGGACGTGCAGGTTATATATTAATATTTTTTTTTACCAGAAACAGTACGGTTTTTATCAAATAAACCACCAATTAAATGACATTAAAGAAAAAAGTGCGGTTAGCGCAACGATGCTAACACTAGCTAGCTATTTTGCTCAACCTCGGAGTTGAGATTTCTGCGCGCGCAGATTCAAGGCTGGGTGTGTTGTGAGATAGAGACAATAATTAAGACGCGTATACCTGCACTGTATCATTGTTATCATTGTCATTGTAAAAAGTAAAATGTCCTACCTCCAGATATTCAACACACATTCATCTTATTTTTCTCGTCGACATGTTTGTTTTCTTCTGTGGTGCCAGGCACTGTGCAGCATGCACACCGCCACCTACAGGCAGACGGAGGAACAAACCGGAAGTGGAAGCCAAAGAGGATTCAATGTTTTTAAATGGAGTCTACTGGAGTATAGTGAACAAGGATATTTTTTAGTGCATAACAAATTTTACAACAAATGTAACTAGTCTAGGAACCACCAATGAACCTAGAAGAAACGAAGAATTAAAATCTGTTCGGTTTATGACACTAAAGGCTGCAGAAAAAGGTTTGGACTTATGGAAAGTGCCAGAGAAGGAGGGAGAGGAGGTACAAGAGGCAAAAGAAATCGTACTGAGGTGAGAAATTATTATTGACACTGTGTACATTTAGTCAATTTATACCTTTTATGACTCTTTAGACTTTAGCTGTTAGACAGCATGAATAGTTTGACTCAGTAGAGGCTTGGTTTGTAATTACATCAGAGCTAAAATTAGAAAAGAGTATTTCAGTGTTTATTTCAAGTGATGTCCACTTCTCTTCACCAGCAGGACAGAGATGTTCGCCTGTCTAAATCCATGTCTTATGTGTTACGTCATGGAGCCAGTCAGATGGGTTTTCAAATGGGCACAGGTGAGCCAACACCGTTCACAGTAAAAACCAACAACATCTCATTCCTCTTTTTCAGTCATAAAATCAAAAATGTTACATGTAGATGACATAAAATGAAACAGCTATAAGGCTGGACTTGACAGACGTCTAACAGTTTTCATCTCATATAAACAACTACACAAACACACACAACGAGGGAAAGTCAACTGAAAAAAGTGACCATAGTGATAACAGCTCACATCCCCACAGATGGCTTCCTGTTTGTGGAGGATCTCCTGGCTCACCCACAGTTCCGCTCTCACACATTAGAGGACATCGAGAGAGTTGTAGCCACGAATGACAAGCAGCGCTTTAAGCTTCGTTCCCACCCAGAGGATGGCCGGCTGCAGATTCGAGCCAATCAGGGTCATTCAGTACAGGTAGGCTAAACCAGGGGTTCCCAAACTTTTCCCTGCCATGGCCCACAAAACAGCATTAGTGTTTTCTTGCTGAGGCCCCCCTCGCAATTCCCCAAACAATGCTACAAAATATGTAAAGAAACATCAACTTTTAGAATGTTTTAACTTTTATTCACTATATTCAATTAATTATTACAGCTGCTGAGCATAAAAAATGTTATTAACTAACATGTTTCAAACACTGTGTTATATTCCCACTGAAAAAAACAACTTTTCTACAAACTGTTGACCAGAAGAACAAAACAAAATAAATCTAACCTCTCTATCAAGTGTGTTTGTCTGGAAATGACAGATACAGATTGCCCTAGTGTGCAATTATTATTATTATTATTACTATTTTTTTATTTTTGCCTTTTTTTTTTCATCTCTCCAGCTTTTTGAGGCCCCACTACCACCCTTTGGCGGCCCCCCAGGGAGCCGCGGCCCCCACTTTGAAAAAACAACTGTCAGAGATGCAGACTTTGCCAAATGAAAAGGGATATAAATAATAACGCCTTTAGTGTTTAATATAAACATTTATGGGATTTCCATAAAAAAGTCACATCCTATGTGTTCACTAAGAAACTTTACAACTGGTCAATTAACATAAAAATTGACTAAATATATGTCTGATATATAGGTATGTATACTATATATACATATATAGTATTAAAATCTGTAGTAAAAAATAATTTAATATTTTAAAAACAACAATTTTAAATAATAAATTAAGTAATTCTTTCTAAGACTTAATCTAATCAGAATCTCATTCATGCATGTTCCTTTGATCAGGTGGAGGATCTGGAGCTGAAACCAGTGCTGGCGGATTCTCCAGACTGCCCAGCTGAGGCTGTTCATGGCTCCTACCTGCGCAACTGGAGCGCCATAAAACAACAAGGCCTGAAGCGCATGAACAGGACTCACATCCACCTGGCTTTGGGTCTGCCGGGGGAAGACGGCGTCATAAGTGGTAAATGCTGTGTTAGAAAAAACTTTCCAGTTTAAATGTTTTAGAACCATTTGGCAAATAGTGTTGTTTTTTCCTCACAGGCATGAGAAGAAATTGTGATCTTGCTGTGTTTATTGATGTTCCCAAAGCTCTTGCTGGTAAGACTAGCCAATAATGGCTGGTGTCCAATACCCTACATCCACCCTGTGTGTAAAAATCAATTCTTTACAAGCGTTTTATGTGTGTGTCTGACTTGTACAGAGGGCATTGAGTTTTTCTGGTCAGAGAATGGCGTGTTGCTGACTTCAGGCGACAGTGAGGGTAGACTTCTTCCTAAATACTTCATCCGGGCCTTAAGACTGAAGCCTTCAAGTAAGAAAAACTAAACACAGTATTTGTCATAGGATTTTTTTTTATTTATTTTCGAGGTCCAGTTTGATACATTCATGTCCTTTTTGTGCTGTTTTTCAGGAAGTCTCCTGCCTTTGGAGTAACATCAGCAGAGGTTGATGCTCTGTCAACTTAACTGACCATCGAGTCTCAAGATTGCACAACATTAATTTTAGTCTCCTTTGCAACACTTGATTTGCAGCTACATCCTGTTAAGGCAATTTGAACTACACTGGAAGAATCTGTTCAGAAGAAATCACTTTAAATGGGACAAACATAGTTTGTTAAATATTGAATTCCTCTGTTGTTATTAACAAGACAGAAGCAGATGCAACCACTATTTTCATACTAGAACACAAGCCAGTTATTGACACATAGCACATTTGACTAATAATCAGAGAGGTCAAGATATTTTAATTGCATTGTCAGTACTAAATTAATGAAAGGCCTATTATTACTTGAAGTAATGCATATTGCCCTCCCTTTCACACCAGTTTTAGATCTAAATAATCTCATAATAATAATCTCAGAAACGTCAGCGTCATTGCCATTTTGGTTAAACTTTGAGATTAACATTATGTGCAATCTCAAGAAATATCAAAATATGTCACACTCAGAAAATGTGTTGTGAACAACTCCAATTCTCAGAAATCAGATGAAAAAGTCACAATTCTGAAAAAAATAAAATAAAATTATAATTGTGTCCCTAATCCTTTTCTGTGGGAATGGGTGGCACCTTATGTGGTGAATAATAACTCTCAGCTACAATCACCTACTGTAATTTTAGCACAACAGGAGTAAAATGGACCAAGTTACTCCAAATTATTCTTGTATTTTCTAAGGCAGAAGCTGTGGCAGCAATCTTGAATGAGATTGTCATAAAATGAATCAGTTGTAGAGATACATCTAAATACTATTTATTGAAAATTTAATTAAACTTAGTGGTTCATGAGATATTTTGCAAACAGATTGAGTTAACGCCAGAAAGTAAAGGGCAATGTTTTAAACAAAAATCCTGTCCAATCTGTATGTTTTATCATTCTCAGCTATTACCATGCCAAATTTTTTAGTCAATACGTGTACAATTGACTAAGTTATAGCCTTTTTTGTGGAAGCCACCTTGGATTGTGTTAAGCATTATTCAGTTCCAGATTCAGTCTTTGCCGATGTCAATAAGATTTTTTGGTAACAAACACGCACACGGGCAAAAACATCTTTCCTCTTTGACCTTTCGGCGACTTGCGATGGCGATCATAAACATGAGGTACTGAGATAATTCACCAGGCAGAAAAAACTGAAGGCAGATCCTCTGTGTGCTTTGTCTTCTGACTAAACCTGCAGAAACAGGATGCAGATACTGTGGTTTAACGGTCAGCCTTAACAGTTGTAACATATGGATACACACACACACACACACACACACACAGAGCATGTGTAAGGAGAGATAATTGAAGCTTTCAGGGAGACACTGAAGCTCAGCAGCATTGTCACAATCATGACAACAGAAGAAACATTGTGAACGGATGTGTTTAATTTTTATTTATGATCAATTTTACAGGTAAACACTTCATACTGGCATTTTATTAAAACTCGGCTGTGTTAATAAGCTGTAGCTTCTTCAGTTTGTCATGGTCAAGACAACATCTCGTGACAAGTCTGCCAGTCGTGACAAAGCAAAGCTGATTATGTTTTTTGGTTAGAGTGAATATAAAATGAAAATGTGGCTGTGTCAGCTGATTATTCCTTTAAGGCTGATTGTCGAGCTGCTGCTCCACAGTTTCACTCGGCAGAAGTCCATCAGAAGGGGAATCAGCATGAGGACCTCTGGGGTGTTAAGACTGTCTGACCTTGTTCATTGTGGCATTCATTGACGTAGCTTAAAACAAACTTTGTGGAGACGGAACACATCTGTTCCAGAATATTATATTTTAATCCTTACTGTTACGATTTATTCTGGAATAAAGTCCTCTTGTCACTTTGGTTTTCTGTTTGGATCCGTTTTACAACAAATATTATCATTCATTCATTCATTCATTCAACCTTTATTTAAACAGGTTAGTCCCATATTGTTGTGTGTTTCAGTCTTAGAGAGCTTCGTGGCCTCCGGTCAGTTTATGGAAGAGCTCTTCATTGAGCGTGTCGCCCTTCTCATGGCTGCGTGTTGACATGAAGATGTAGCCTCCGATAAACTCGTGAACAATTTTACAGTCTGCCGTCACACAGCTAAAGGCGATGTTCACGTTGCCCTCAAACTCAATGGCCATCTGAAAAACAATCAAACTTTAGGAAGCAGCTTCAGTAAAAAAAAAAGTTACAATAACATTTTATTAGTAAAATAGAATGTAATGTTATGCAGTTAGTGATTCACTTTTTGCCATTCTTGCTCTCCCAGTCATACAATCAGCATGACCTGAGTAATTGTTGTCGTGGAGCTGAATTCATGTTTCGTTTGCATGTCAGTTCAATCAGGAAACGTGGTCTCTGTTCGGTTAGTGTTTGTCTCGGCTTCTGTGATCATGTTTAAATTACTGAATATGTTATAGTTTTTATAATCTGTCGCAGAAAGGTAAAAGTGGACGATGAGGGTTTTGCTCATGTGTGCGTGTGTATTTATGTGTTTGTTAGTAAAATACATTATGAACCATTTGACACAATTTAATGGAACTGTCAGAAAGTAATCTTTGTATGTACATCTACAAATGACTGATTTTTGTAATCAACTCTGAAGATCACCACAGCGAACTGTTTACAAAACACAAGACTGGCTGTAACTCAGTCAGTTTTACAGATATTGAGCTAAAATCTGTTGTAGTAGCTGAGAGTCATCCTCAACACCATATTTCCAAACAAATATTGCATTTCTCCAGTTTTAGCTTCTCTCCACTGGCTCCCTGTTAAGTCCAGAATTGAATTCAAAATCTTACTTATAACCTACAAAGCCCTCAACAACCTAGCTCCATCTTTTTTTTTTTACAGATCTTATTTGTTCCATCTTTTTCTAACATATACATTTGCTCTCAGACTGCAGGCTTACTTGCGGTTCCTAGAGTTTCCAAAAGCAGAATTGGAGGAAGATCTTTCAGTTCTCAGGCTCCTCTCATGGAACCAACTTCCAGTTTTTGTCCATAAGACTGACACATTGTCCAGTTTTAAGACTGGGCTTAAGACTTTCCTTTTTGATAAATCCTATAGTTAGGGTTGGCTTGTTATGCTGCTATAGGCTTAGACTACTAGAGGACAAATTGACCTCATTTCCTTAAATGAATTGTTAAAATTGAATAGTTTTCATTTGATATTATTTCTATCTTAACATGTGATTCTCGGCCTGCCATTGTGTATCTGTTCCTCCTTCCTGTTCCTCTCAAACCCATGCCAGTCGAAGCAGATGGACGCTTGTCCTGAGCTTGGTTCTGCTAAAGGTTTCTTCCTCATGAGGGAGTTTTTACTTCCATTGTCGCCTTCATGCTTGCTCAAGATGAGAGTTCTGTGATGGAGTTAAACTCAAAGCAGTCTGCTCCTCACATAAATAGTGTTAACTTATTTTTCAATATATATATACCAGAATATAAATGTTTCTGTTCAGTGCCCTGAGATGACTTCTGTTGTAACTTGGCGCTATATAAATAAACTGAACTGAATTGAATTGAACACACAATGTTATTTTCAAGGTTTGAGCAAAATGTCTACAACTCCATCGTTTATGAACACGAAATGATCTTAGTGTGAAACTCAGGTGACAGGTGATGTGCATTTCTTTAAGAAATGCCAGGCCTTTAAGTAAATTCTGTGACCTAGACATGAATTTACCTTCATCAGTTACTTTGTGTTTTACTGAGTTGACCTCCCATGCATTTGGTTTAAGTTTACTTCCTGGTCTCAGTTTCTGATCAGCACCTGTTTTAGTTGCACATTTGCCACATTGTTGTGTCAGTGTCAGTTCTGTCTTGGTGGATTTGAAGGCACATTTTGATTTCGTTTGTCACCCTATTTATTTGTTGTGAATAAAGTTAATTATTGCCCACACGTCTGCCTGTGGACTGCAGTCAATCTGGACTTGGCTCTTCTGTTGATGCAACTGCGTCAAATCCTTCCAAATGTAGTTGTCTTGTTTTTCTTAGGTGTTTATACAATCTCCAGTGTTAAATAAGATAATTCAGCAGCACACATCATGCTGAGAGCTTCCAGTTAAAGACTGACCTGCCGTATGTCCCAGTTGACGTTCCACTGCTTCATGTTGTTATAACGCCAGGTCTTGACCACATCACCCACTCCCAGGTCGATCCGGATCAGCCGGTTGGGGGCTATGCCCAGTACCTCGTCTTTTCGACTACCCTTAAACCTGTTGGGCATATTATGTTTTAATCATCCTCTATCATAAAAGACTCCCATAACATTCACTTGATGTTATTTTTATGTTTATATGTTTTTGTATTAAGGTTAAAAATAACTTGCCAATATTAACTGATGCAAAAGTTTTTTTATGCTTTTAAAATATAAATTTATTCCACTACACATTTTTCTCAGATGAGAATTTAGGCCGTTGGGTGAAAAAGGGTCCGTACTGTATAATAAAATAATTAAAAATAAATAAATTAAATAAAAAACAAAAACTTTATAATAATCCTGTTACACAAAACTTTTCTATGACTGCGTTTTGTGGCATCAAATCAGTTTTTCAAAGATTTAAATTAAAATCTAACCTGACAACAACGTATGAGAGTCCAAAGTCGGGCAGGGCCTGCCAGATCTGCAGGAAACGCATCAGCGCATCTGTCAGTGAGAGCTGGGCCACATTCTGGTACGCATCCAGGATACGAGGGGTCAGCTGGATGAAAAGGGTCATATTTAATTACTCTTGTGCTGCCTTGAATTCAAACCTTTCAAAGTTATGTTTAGTTTTTTTTCTCACTGATAGAAGTTGTCTCCTAGAACATCTACTATAAAATGTTTGATGCAGAACTCCACTCCACGTACCTGTTTAGGCTTGTACTTTTTATGGTAGCGTGGTGATACCAGACTGTGAGTGTTGATGCTTTCATCACTGGCAGCTGCACTGGAACCAGAGTTGGTCTTCTGCATAGCCAGGAACGAACGGATGCTTTGGATCTCACTCTGGAAACTGCTGTCCGCAAGAGTCTTGCCTTTGGAGGCCAGCCGACATCCAGCCATCCACTCAGCGTACTGCTGCTCCTGCAAACACCGGTCGCAGACAGACAGCTTAAGCGACAGGTGTGTGTTTGTGGCAAAACTGAGAAGCTGAAAAGAAAAGCACTGGGGAAAGACAGGATGTCACACATAGAGAGATAAGTGTGTTGGGTGGCCTCACGTTTTCACAGCGCAGATACAACTCATTCATGCCTTCGGGTGCTGGTATCAGCAGTCTGATGAGAAACTTCTGAGCTGCCACATTAACATCTGGAGCCACCTCACATCCTGTGTATGTGAGACAATTAACCAAGTGATAGTCCATCTGTCCGTCCATCCATCCATCATCTTTACATGCTTTGGTGCCCATCCATCACTGTGCAGGATGCAAAGTGCACAGGTCACAAGTCCATCACAGTGACACATAGAGACAAACGAGACAAACAACAATTCACACTCTCATTCACACCTAGGGACAATTTAGAGTTACCAATCAGTCTAACATGCAGGTTTTTGATCTGCAGGAGGAAATCGGAGAACCCGGAGAAAACCCACACATGCACGGAGAGAACATGCAAACTCTACACAGAAAGGTCCCCAGCCAGGAATTGATCCAGCAACCTTCTCACTGAGAGGCAACAGCTCTGCCAACTGACCCACTGTGCCACCTTTAAATTTAGAATGTATGCATTAGTGTCCGAGAAGGACAAAGAAAATATGTCAGTCTTCTAATTTTTAGATTAAAAATTTCAGCTTGTTTTGTTTTTTAAATATACTTGAAGTATTTATTATTTTTTTATGTTGTTTTTTTTGTTGTAAAATAGCAGAGCTTTAACCACATCCCAAATGAGATGGGGGACATTGAGTATGAGTGGCCATGTTTTCCCTCCATTGTTGAAGTGGCTGCCTTGAGCTGTGGCCGCAAGGTTGTCGGTGGTTTTCTTGCTGGCCATCCTCGAACTCGGTGGTGGACACCCTGGGTTAGGGAGGTTACCAAGCTGAATAAGGAATCCCATCGGGCTTTGTTGGCTGGTGGGACTCCGGAGGCAACTGAGGAGGGGGCAGAGATGAGGTAGAGGCATGGCAGCCGACCTGGGACCAGAAAGTTATGGTTCGACTCCCAGCCATTCCCACATGTCGTGGTGTTTCTGAGCAAGACACCTAATCCCTAACTGCTCCCCAAGCACTTACATAGCTGCCCACTGCTCCACCTGGGTGCAGCTCACGTGTGATGGGTTAAATGCAGAGAACAAATTTTGGCATTGTATGGGAACATACAATGATAATCTCAGACCACTTCACATCACTTCACTTCACTTCACTTCACTTCACAGGAGTACCGGAGGGCCAAGTGGGCTGCAGCCTCGGCTTTTGCTGAGGCAAAATCTCGGATGTGGGAGGAGTTCAGTGAGGTCATCTGGTAAGGATGTTCCCTGGGCGCCTCCCTGTGGAGGTGTTTTGGGCATGTCCGACTGTGTGGAGACCCCTGGGAAGACCCAGGACACATGTCTATGTCTCTCCAGTGTGTCCTGGGAACGTCTTGGGCTCCGCCCAGAAGAGCTGGAAGAGGTGGCTGTGGAAAGAGAAGTCTGAGCCTCCCTGCTCAAGTTGCTGCCCCCGCGACCCGACTTCTGAATAAGCAGAAGATAATGGATGGATGGATGGATGGTAAAATTACAGAAACGTTTGTACTAAAATAAAATAACTTTTTTCAAACCTCTGAGGTTAATCTGTTGAATGGGCTCCCCGATACTCTCCTCTTTGCTCTTGAAATAAGAGATGGAGGTGTCCTGAAACTTGAACCAGTACTGCTTGTATCCCTTCAGAGTGAGTCTCTTGGGTCTGAAGCATAAAATCACATTTTATCTAAACACGTTCTTCTGGGTGTTAACAAGTCACGTAATCTAAAGTCTGAGATTATTACCAAGAATAGTGGTTTAACAAAACTCACCTAAATATCTTTAAGTAGTCGTTGAGCTCTGGAGCCGTCATGTTTTCCTGGATGAAAAGTATTTTGTTAGTTGATACAATACTTGCTGCTAAGTTAAAATGTTTTAATTAATGTTTAAATTAGAAAAACTGAATTACACATTTCTTTCCCTGACATAAAAAGCACACATTTCAAAAAGTATAATTTGTATTAAAGCATGAATGAAATTAGCGTCTGCTGCAGAGCTTAATATGTGAAGTAAGTCACTTAAGTCTTGTCTGACCAGCAGCTCAGTCGCAGAGCTGCTCTCTCCCTCCATCTTGACCTCCAGAGATTGCAGGGCGGACTCCAGGTCATCCATGGCAGCGCTGGAGCTCAGAGTCTGGGGCTCCGACTGAGACACCTTACTGATGTGGTACTAGGAGGTTAAGCGTCAGAGAGAAGAGACACAGACTTTTAAATGAGTACCGCATGTTGAAAGACAACGTAAATCCAACAGTGTGCTGTGGCACCATGCAATATATTAAAGTACATAAAATGTTTCAAACAGAATGATTTATGTGTCAAAACCTGTTGAAATACACCTGGTCCATAACAAGTCTTTTTATTAGGTGAGTACAGCTTCAAATGAGTAATGATATTTTACTGTGTTGTTTTTTATTTGACAAAAAAAAAAAGTCAAAAGAAGAGTATAAAATTATATCACGATTCAACATAATGTAGAGCCACCCTTTTCGGCAATAATTACCGCAATTTTTGCCATATAGGTTGCAGCTTTTTGCATAAATTAGCATGCTTGCAACTTATACGGCAAAGCAACATATTTATGTTTGTTTTGCTTATATTTATAACCCAATTTTTGTCTGAGATCTGACGATTTCATTCATTCTGACATGGAAAATATTGAACAGCCACCAGAGGATCCTCGAGTAATATGGCAAGCCAGTGTCTCATTAATAGGTAAAAGTGGCTATTAATGAGACACTTGGCTTGCCATACCAAGCCACCTTCGTCTCGCTCCGGAACTCCTGGAGCAAACAGCTGCATTTCATCCTGCCGCAGGTGAACTGCAGCTGATTTGACCATTAAAGTGCATTTACTGTATTAAGGGAAAGTTCAACTGAGACGCACCTTTACTATAATGTCGAGCAAACAAATAATTGTTTTTAGGTGGTTATCGTGTTAAATTTTGAAGAAATGCACAGCGAGTCCTCCCTCTGCGCGCTCCTGCCGCCGCAAATCGGCTTTTGAAATGCAGCTGATTTGACCATCAAAGTGCATTTATTAAGGAAAAGTTCAACTGAGACACACCTTTGCTATAATTTTGAGCAAATAAATTATTGTTTTTAAGTGTTAATCTTGTTAAACTCTTGTTAAAGTCCTCCCGTGCATGAACCCACAGCTGCCATTTGGCAGCCAATCGATTTTTAGCACACCGGCCCACATTTCCAGGTTATCATAGGTGAAGCGCTACAAACGCGGCACGTCAACGGTGACACATAATAGATGCAACGTATATGGCGAAACAACTTATTTATGTTTTTCCCCCCACTTTATTAGACATATTTGGGCTGATGTGACTTATACGGCGGTGCGACGTGCACAGCGGAAAATACGGTAAATAAATATTTTCTTTATAAGCTTCTAATTTTATGATATAGTTTTGGAGGAGGTTCGGTCTGCTTTTCTTACAATGTTGCTTTGATTTAGTAAGATTTGTGAGTATTAGTTCACCGTTTTTTTTTTGTCTGTTTGAGGTCTGCACTTTGGATGACCTCACATTTAATTCTGTAATATTACAACATAAAAAAGTTCCTAGTCGACACAGTGACTAAGATCCCAGATCTTGTTCTGCAAAACAAACCCAAGTCATCAGCTCTCCGCCACCGTGCCTGAACGCTGGTTTGCCTTAAACGTTGTGTTGTTGTCATTAACCGGTAGTTGTATTGTCATTATTATTAACACAGAATTTAAAAAAAAAAAAAAAGTTTTATACAATTTTTATGTGTTGATCCTTTAAAAAAAAATCTGATATAGTTTTTATTTTATGATCCTTCAAATTGGAGCATGAGCTTTATTACAGAAAATAATTTTGAACACCTATTCTGGTTTGTTTTGGATTCTTAAAGGTTGCCTCATCAATATGTTTATTATATATGTGCAGAAACAGTAGAACACAACAGTTCCTGTGATTCTTGACATTTACAGGCTTTGTGTTAGAATGATCCACTTCCTGTGCACATGTCGTCGCTCTGTTTTCTACCTGCAGAGCTCCAAACAGCATCATCTCCTCCTCTGTGCAGTCGACGTCCTCCAGCAGGATGGCCCAGCGGGCCTGCTCATAAATCTGGGTCAGACGCACCATATCGTACTGCAGAGATTGACAGCCGCATGAAGAATGGATTACAACAAGATCCACTGAGTAGATGAACATCATGGGAACAGACATGCGCACACACACCTTGGGGTCTATATCATAGAAGGAATAGTACTTGAAACGAAGCCAGAGTCGGTCGTTTTCTTGGATGCTCTGCTGCATGAGACAACGTGATGAGTCCAGCCACCTGAGAAGAAGACAAGCAGAATATGTAGAGTATGTGATTGTGCGTTTAGAGAGAATTGTTTTTATTATCAACCTGTTTTTACCAGGAAAATCCCTTTGAGATCACAGATCTGAAGGCAGCCAGTTGTTAAAACTATTCAATTAAGCAAAATAAATTTTAATAATGTAAATCAAATAGTTTTTCAAAATAAATTGTTCAAAATCCCAAAACAGAAACACAGTTTTGATCTGGAAGTGTAAAATGTTTCAATTAGACTTGGAAAAAATAAAATTAAACACTTACATTTTTTTTATTCCTGTTAAATTTGGGTTGCTTTTGCAACAATTTAACCTCAAAGCAGATCTAAAACCTGAACTTGAGAAATAAATAGACAAATAAAAACTTTTTTTGTCTCTCAAGAACAATGAAGTGCTTCTACTTTATCTGAAATTACAGATCATGGAAGCCAGCAGCTATTGCTTCTTTCCCAAAAGGCATTACTTTAATGTTTCTATCGACCCCAGCAACCTTCATTTAAAATGCAGATGAGTCATGTCTATAATAGCTCCAAGTTTACAATAGGTTCTAAAAACAAATGCTGGTGTGTTGCAGGAAGTGTACCTGCCGTTGATGTGAGCCTTGTCCACCACGCTGGCCGGACGATACTGCTTGGAGATGACCTCGGGGGCGGGAGGAGGCTGAGTGATGGACAGCATCTTGTAAATGGCCTCCATGTTCTCTGAGTCAGCAAAGTGAGCCGGCATGCCGTTGTACAGGCAGGGCCGGGACACTACAAAGGAAGTGAGAGTTACGTGACATTAACATTTTCCACAAAGACAATGTTTGAAACGGTCAAAAACTTAAAGACGATTGTTACAATGGTTGAATATTTAATGAATTGAAGCTGCTACAGTTTATCTAGGGCTACAAATATTATATTTCTAAACCATGAATGACACATTTTTGCTAAAGGCGTATGTTATTTCTTCAGTGCGAACAAAATGGGATGAGTGTACCCGAGGAAAGGGGCACCTCGGTCAGGTCGTAGATCTCCTCCATCAGATCTTTGTCTTTTTTCTTCTTCTTCTCCTCCACAGGGCGTAGGAGGGAGAGCTCCTCTGGGTGACGGATGTCTGTTGAGGTAAAATGTTAATAAGAGCCGTAAAAAGGAGGACGTCTGAACACTGATAGAAAAAAAAACCTTATAGCGATTTTATAAACAGCAAAGAGTTTTACATCCAGACTAAAGATTGCAATTGGTTCCAGGTTGTTTCAAATTTTATCGAGGTATATTGCTAAAACTTACAGAATGATTTTAGCCCTATCTATTCCAGAAATGTAAATTGTTGCTTATTAACAAATGAATGGGAAACAAACACTGAGCAATAGTGAATACCTTATGGAACATTATTCTCAAAAGACTGGGCATCTGCAAGAAGTGACTTTAGTAAAGCACATGACCCTGATGTGATTTGAACACACAACTTTCTGATCTGGAGTCAGACACGCTACCATTGTGTCACAGGGTCTCTGTTACCTGAACCTCCAGATTCAGAGGTTCTGTCACACCTGACAGCTACACTTGATAAAACCTGAATGATCAAAAATCTTTGTTTTGTTTCAAATTAAATTTTGTGGCATCTGGGGGCTCTACAAATTTATGTTTAGTTTAGTTTATTTTTTGAATATGTAAAAAAAAAAAAAAAAGAAAAAATATATAGCTTGAAGCATAATGTCAAAACTTTTTGTTTTACATATTCAAGGGAGTGGGTAGAAGTATAAACTTATCAAAATTCCCACTCCTGAACCACTTACGTAATCTTACATTCATTACATGTATAATTCATACATATAACAACTAAACCCATATTTATCCATCAATATAGTATCTATTTAAGTTAAATATAGTAGATGAACAATTATTATTCCTTTAACTTCACCAAAAACAAAAGCATCAATAACAAATAACAACAAAAAAACAAAAACAACAATAAATGAATAATATTACTATATATTATATCCAGCAATAATCATATGTTTATATGATGATTTAAACAGTTTTATGTTTGGACATTATTTAAGTCCAATATTCATATTATTCCACAGTTTGACTCCACTTACTGATACACAAAAGTTTTTCTAGTATTTCTAATTTAGCGTATTTTAAACTGTGATTCCCCCCTTAACGTATAAATTTGTTCTTTAATTTTAAACAGGTTTGAATGTTTGACTCCAGATCAGAAAGTTGTGTGTTCCAGTCACATCAGGTTTATGGGTTTGACGCTCAAATACAAGGTTTACAAGACTTAAGACTTGATGGTCTCTGCAGTTTGGAGATAAAGTCTTCTGTAAAGTAATGCTTTCCCTTCAAACTGCAAAGACTGAATCACCTCGGCATTGGAAGTCAACAATTATTATGAAGTGAATGAAAACACGTTTATTTGTTTTAAACGTAATCAATGCCACAAGCACTTGACCTAAAACAAATATATTTTATATTCTAGATTTTATAAAATGTACCTTTAATGTATGGGAACAGCATGTGGGCATGTTAACTTGAGAAACGAGGAAACAAACTCTGCGGCACAGATGTAGCACGTCTGACTTAAAATCAGAAGGTTCTTCGTGCAAATCACATCAGAGTTTATACAGTCTAACAAGTAAACAATGCTTTTGAGGTAAAAAAAAAAAAAATATATATATATATATATATATATATTGAAATGCCTAAAAAGTAATCAGAGGTTAAAATGTTCAAAGCTCTGTATTGATGATGAGCATCTATAACATATGTAACAAAGAACGCACACTTCTAGCTCTAGTCTGTAGGTGTACTACTTTATTTTACACAGTATGCAGTAATTTCATACATAAAGTGGTATTGTATGTCCTAACTGCGTGTATTCAAGCTACACAGCAGACTCTGTGGTGCAATGGTAGCACGTCTGACTCCAGGTCAGTTGTCAGACCAGTCGTTCATCTGAAGGCATCACTGGTGTGGAGCTCAAACACAGGTTCCTGAACCGAAGCCTGGTTGGCATCAGTATTTATTAAAAAAAAACTGTTTACCTCCTCATCTTTACTAGTTTAAAATATTTTAAACATCCAAAGTCTGAATCATCAGGTCACTGATGTAAACGTTTCTGCTAATTCAACTTTCTGCATGCGAACTTTTTGTGCCAGTAATGTTGCAAGATTAGTGCACCTGACTGCAGGATAGATGACCGTCAAGGTTTGGAGTTATCTCCTGATGCATGCTCAATAATCCAGGTAGAAAAAAAGAATACAGCACCTCAGACTGAGGAAGTCTTACGGATGAAAGACGAAACGTTTCTACATTTTTTGTTGTTGTCTTGCTGTTTTGTTTTTGAATGTCCAGAGGACCAGAATGAACTTTTTTAGTTTTGAGTTATAGTTTTGTCTGCGTTTTCTCTGTTCACAAACGAGACAATCGGTGTCCCTCAGTCAGGGCTCTGTGGAGCAGCGGCTGCATATTTTACTTTAGATCCAAAGGCCGTGTTTGTCACCTAACGGTCATGGGCAAGCTTCTTGACTGAAGAAAATAAAGTGGGAATTTGAGAGCCTGTTAAGAATTTCCTGCCAATATTCAGGCCAGTCGAAGGTTATGAAGTAATCTAACTTTTCAAACAAAAATAAGTTTACTTGACTTTTTAGGTCTTGGCCAACAAACTGCTGGAGAGTCGATCTTAATTTATTAATAATTCTGTACTTTTTGTGCAATTCATCATGTGAATTTCAGCCCAGATTACCCACCTGCACTGGGAATTTCATGTCTATAAAACACTGAAAAACATGTTACATGCTTTAATTTTAGCTAATGGATGACAGATTTAATTATCGTACTGCTAATTAGTGCAGAAAATACTAAATGTAAAGAATTTTACTTAAAGTTGATTTTCCCTTTGCATCTTTATTGGAGAATTCAAACAATTACAATATTTAAATTTGTAAAATAACCATAACTTGATGGTGCAAGAACACCAGCAGTTATTTTTTTACAAGTTTCCATTTCTGGTCTTATGTTGCTGATTTATTTCATGTTGCTGTGTTCATTTGTACTCATCTGCTCACACAGACTCGTGTTCGTGCTGCTGTTCTGCGTATTGTTTTTATACTACTAGTGCTTAGCGTATTCCAAGTTTAGCATATTTCTTAGTTCATATCTTAGATCTTATTACTGTTTATCTGTACAATTTATACTATACAATTTCGTTCCACCACATGTACCACATATGATGCGAATGATAATAAAGAAACCTTGACCTTGACCTTGATGATTTATGATAATGCACAATTACGTCATCTTAAATGACACGTTTTGTTCACTTTATTTGTGTGCATTCTGACCTTTTATTTTGAAAGTATTTCTTTATGTCTGCTTACTCCACATATTTTCAGACTGGTGCCATTTTCTGTTGGTTTCCAGAGAGAAACCGATGAACAAGCACCAGAATTAGATTATATGAAAGTATTTACAAAACAGTGAATGACTGTCTGCCTTTTTGGCAATAATCAGGGTGGAGAGAGACAGCAGGTCAACATGTTAAAGATTTAAATATACAGATGGTTGTAAACAGCTTTTTTTTGTGTGTGCATATTTAAGGTTCAAGGTTCAAGTTTCTCTATTGTCAATCGCATCACATGTGATACATGAGGCGGAACAAAATTGTGTACTCAAGGTCCCAATTACACCCCAAAATAGCAAAAATATAAAGTATAAAAAGAAACAATACATAAGGATCTAAGATATACACTAAATGAAAGCTAAACGATATGCTAAAAGATCTAAGATATACAGTAAACACTAATAATGTAAAGTAATATGGTGTATTAAACAGCAGCCCGAACATGAGTCTGTAATGAGTAGATGGGTATGAATACAGCAGCATAACGGCAAGAGATCAGCAGCACAGATAATCAGCAGCACAGATAAAGTCACATATCACTAATTAAAGTGGAATTAGTGATTTTTTTTTACAAACAGCAAAGTGACTGAGACTGAGAAGAAACAAACCTACAGATGTTAATTATCTATTTTAAACAATTTAGTTTGGAAAACAGAACTAGTACTAATAGTAATAATAATAATAATAATAATCTGCTGAAATTCAAAAAAGTGCAAGAAGGGAAAGAAGAACCTACTAAACATCCTGCAGATGCCCATCACGGTCTGGAAGACGGGGTTGGAGAAGCAGGCCCTCAGCCTCACCGTCGTGCCGTTGGGCAGGCCCAGTTTAAGGGGCTTGTGTTGAGGCATGAAAACCAGCCGGGCGTCTGCGTGGATCCCATATTTGTCCAGAGTCCAGGCTGTTCGCAGCAGCCACCGCTGCTTCTGGTCCCACCACAGTGCATGGTCTGACCAATCACGCTTGATCTCTGTGAAGGACAGATGGACACACAAATATTCACAAGAATCTTGTTTAATGCATGGCTGAGTAAAGGAAGATCGGAGCTGAGGGGGTGTTTGTCCTTTCATGGCCATCAAAGTGCATTAAATCCCTGCTTCTGCCTGCATTCTGCATTATTCAGACACGGACCCTGCTCTGACATGTCGGCTATTTTGGGACCGCACCTGTTTGGGTTGTCGGTTGCGCACGTCCGCTGAGTGCAGCGGCTGAATGAATGTCCATTTGGGCTTTGATGGATCGCTGCCTGGCAGTCCCATCTGAAGCTTAAATTAACTTTATTTTACCTCTTTCAAGGCCGGTCAGTGCGCGGTCAAATGGTGAATGTATGGCAAGCCACGTTGCCACATAATTTGATCGTCAACTGTGCACGTCCGCTGACACAATCAAAAGCCAGACACCGACCCGAATCTCACTTTAAGCCCATTATTCTGGCCCGGCTCTAATCCATGTTGGGCTGGGCTCCAGCTTCAGTTTAGAAATGACAGTTCTACCTCAGACACCCTCGCCCCCCCCCCCCCCCCCCCCCCCCCCCCCCCCCCCCCCCCCCCCCC